CTCTACTCAGAGACTTAATCTTCTCCTCCATTTTTCTTAACTTCTGCTCTTCTTCCTGCCTCAGAGCAGCCAGCCTGGCCTTCTCTTCATTTTGGAGAAACTGCTGAAGCTTTTTAAACTCCTCCTTTATCTGCTTCTCCGTCTGCTGTGCCTGGACCTTTATATGTTCTGCTGTTTGATCAAAGTTTCCTTTGACTTGTTCAAACACCTTCAGTTTGTCTTGTAAGGGCTTCAGGTGTTTCTGAAGCTCCTCTCTGTGATCCTGGGCGGCTTCTTCAATTGGGTTGAATCTGTGGTCTTTGTGTGCTTTTGAATCTCGACAGACGACACACACCAGCTGCTGATGATCCAAACAAAAAAGTCTGAGTTTCTCATGGTGCAGACTGCAGAGAGGCTCAGACACTGCAGAAGCTTTTTTATCTCTCTGCAGTAAGAAAGCCTCACACAGGTTCTTTAACGCCAAGTTACGGGGTGGATCATTTGACAGGTTTATCTTCTTACAAAGTGGGCAGTTGTGTTCTAGATTCTTGCTCCACCACGTCTGCAGACAGAATCGACAGAAGCTGTGGCTGCATGACAGGAGGACAGGATCTCTATAGATGTCGTGGCAGACGGGACAGGAGAGATCATTTTCCGACTGAGATGACATTTTGTCCCGGAGTAACAACAATGAAAACAATGAGGCGTCCGCTCAAGAAGCTTCTTCAAACTTACTTTCCCTTTTAGCTGTGACTTCTGTAAAAGTTCTGTTTGTAACATGGAATCAGCAGCATCGTGTTGAAGTGTCAGTATCCTGATATTCCCTGTATTTCAGTGTTCCCCGTATCCTTCTGTCGTTGAACTTCCCCTCTTTTCTAACAAAGAATCTAAATATATAGTCCAGAAAGTGAAAGTGTCACGGTGAATGCAAATTGACACCAGTATGAGCAATGAATGAGGAAGATGCATACTTAAAAGGGTGTGTGATTCATTTCTACATGGGGTGGAGAGAGGTGTTGTAGAACACAATCCCTTTATTTCAGGGGCTCAAAAGTAATTGAACAAATTAAGTACCTGAAAATAAAACGTCTGCTTCGTTACTTGGTTCAGGCTGCCATGCCTTCACTGACAATGGCAGCCTGAAGTTTTCTTTCTTTCTTTTTTTTGCTGCTCTCAACACTTGAGAGCAGTTCTGTCTGGCTCAGCAGTCGTACATTTAAGTATGTATGTGACATCTACGAGGAGTTCAAATAACTTAATGTTATTTTC